CTGCACAGGAAATGGCTCCTTTCTGACTTTGTCTCTTTTTCTTTAGGACATTGGAAGGATCTTGAAGAAGTAAGTGAATCCACCCTCTTTCTTCTTTATGACCCCAGAGATTGGCAGCTCCTCCTGCTGGGTCCCATTCTGGAAAGCTCTGCTTGTATTTAGTAGCAGTTCAACTTAAATGGAACTGATTCAGGGCTTTGTAGATATTTCCTCAGACAACCTCAACACAACATAATTAACAATATTTGATGTTAATTATTATTAATGATAAGAAGCACCATCTGATACTAAAATATTATATTTGTCCCCAGGATTTATCACTCATTTTCATTATCAAAATCATTTATCATTTTTCTACCTATCTCATTTTCAGTGAAAAACATTTTCTATAAGGAAGTATTTTGTACTTTCTTTTTTCAAAAAAAACATAATTTAAGCCTTTCTGCAGTTTTAATTCTCAGTTCTCTCCAAGTTGTTCGGAATTGAGCATAACACAACTCCTTAAAATCCTTAAGTTGTAAAGGGCCACGGAGGCCGTGAGATCCAACTCCTAATCTTTCGCAGGAGTCCAAAGTAAACCTTCCATGGCAGGGGGCTGTCCCGCCTCTGCCTGAACCCATCTTAGGAAGGGGATTCCCACCTCTCTGGGTATCTGGAAGGTCACGCAGATCAACCATGATCCGTCGCAATGCATCACTGAGCAGTGGGGAGAGGCTTATCTGTGTGGACTGACTGCACAGAGCTTCTCCATTTGCAGCGGAAGTGAAGCAAAGCGGCAAGATCCTCCATGGATTAAGAGCTGGGTCCTGCTTCGCAACATCATATTGGAGAGATGGTATACTCAAATCTGATGAAGCAAAGCAGAGGCTCCCCTTCAGAGACATGAACAAGCTAATAGTTGGTTCCACAATCAACATCCCCTGTGAGTCTTCTCTGCTCAAGGCTAAAGATTTACTGTCCATCCCTCTTCAAAGGACTGAGTTTCTAGCCAACTTGGTTTCTCTTCTCTGAGCCTCTTCTAAAATCCTTTTTAAAATGTGCTGCAGAAACTCAACCCTTCAGCACAGAACAAAGTGGAAGTAGCACTAACCCTGATTAGGAAACTTTGCCTCTCTTCATGCATCTTTTTGTGGTAGGTCATACTGCTGGTTTAAATTCATCATCAGTTTGTATTCGGCCATCCTTGCAACTATTAATTGCATTTCTCTCTATTAAATTTCATTGTATTACTTTTAGTCCTTCAAGATTAGTTTGAGTGTTATATCTGTATTCTACACTATTACCCACCTCACAGAATTGAGCCTTTTTCAGATTTGGAGAGATCCAATCCACCCATTTGTCCAAGTGATTCACACGAATTTTAAAGAGTAGAG